GAGTTAAAAAGGGTATATCTTGGTTAAAGAAAGAACTATAGTCTCTGAAGTCTACTTTCCATCAATAGTACGTAAATTTGAACATGTTTTAACATTGGCCACACAAGAGAAAAGCTCTTAGTTACTTTAAGTTGGTATAAAAGGTCTTTCCATGCAGAGGCAAGGTTTTTATTTGTTTGCATTTTCAAAGCTAGATGAATCTTCAGCTGTATCATTCACGATCATTGACATTGTCATTTCCCTATTTTATGTGTGTTGTGCAGAAAGAATTTATTGGATTAGAAATTGATTGAGTACAATCAATATTATGCACCACTTTCTTTCGGTATAAAGCTCTGTAATGTTATGTTCACGCTGTGCTCAGTGTTGGACCTCCTTGCCCAAATACACATTTTTTACTCTTCCTTCCTTGGAGAAAGAAAATGACTACTATTGGGTAAGGTAGCTCCTTTTAACAGCATGAAACTTTTCTGTAAATGTTCTTTTCTTTGTGATACTTGTTTCACAGACAAACACACACAATTTTTGGAGGTGAGAAAAGGGAACAGGTAAAATGGAGGGGGGTGAGGTGCAAAACATAATCTGTGTTACGTGTGCACAGGTGCTTAACCTGTGTTAGCACAGAACTTTATAAACTGTGATGTAGATAGTCTAAAATAATACTCATTTTTCAGACTCAGCTCAAAAGTTTCCCAGCAATCCAGAGAAACCTGCATTTTTTTCTGCTCAGGGAAAGAGGGAAGCAAAATGAACTGCAGGGAAGAGGTGGTGTGAATGCAAGGAGTTTAGGGGAATTAGACAGGCCCAAGTTAGTATGGGGAGAGTTGTAGGGAAGGAGGTAGAGATGGAAGTAAGAACATCTCTCTACATAGCTGTAAGTCTACCTTGCTAAAGCACCCTGTCATCTGAGCTTGAGACTTGGAAACACCCCTTTTCCCTAATGAAGGGATGGTTTTCAGGAAGAGGGAATAACTGGTTTACACGTAAATACTCAAGAACAAAAGCGGTCACTTCTGTAAACCTGTGAATTAATGCTATGCCTTTTTTTTAAAGGATCATTTCTTGAGAGACATTTTAGTGTAATTATAAGCTATCAAGAAATGGGAAAGAATTTTGCAATTTTGTATGTGGGCCTGAATAAAAAGATCCATTGAGAGACAGACAGAGCAAGTCACTTGGAATGCACCAGTCAACAGCAGAAATGTAAACATACTCCAGCTACGCTCTCTGCACTTGTATTTCAGCGTGTTGCAGCACAAAACTTCTATTAATGCAGGCTGACTGCTATACTTGTTGAATTCAGTAGTGAGTCTCTCACAAAATCCAGCTAATTCACAGATCATGGATGAGAACCACACTGTGTCTGCCACTCTGGAAACTCTGCTCTGTCTTAGAATGAAGTGTGTGAAGTTGGTTTGCAGAGCTGACTAGGTTTGGAGCAAGCCAATAAAATGCTGAGGCCAACAAATCTTTGTCTCTGTGTTCCAGTGTGTTTGAACAACCTTATCTCATAGACAGGTACATCTACCATATATTAGTCTTCATCTGGTACTAGTCCTATTGAAATAACATCCACTAAGACTGTTGCTTTCTGAATTATCATAATTATAGAAAGCCACTCTCAGGCTGTTAGAACCTTAGCCTTTAAAAAGTAGCAGGTTACTGGAAAAAACTGTGTAAAAATCAGACGCAATTCAGTTGGTTGTATTGAAACTAGTCTTACTCTGACTGTAGAGGAGCAATATTAATTGTCTGTATTTAAAAACAAAATAACTTCCTTATCATATCCCTTGATGGTTTTTGTTTAATTTCTTTTTTTTGTCTTGACAAAAGGAGTGTGGGGCGTTTTTGTGAGTGGAGTTTAACAGTGATAGCAAGAAGGAAAGCTTAATTGCAAACAGAGTGGTGTTAGATCTGTGCTCCAAGAGGCCTAACTATCTAGAAAGCAGGTCTGATGTGCAGCAGTCTTTAGCTTGTGCTGGTGAAATATCTTGACAAATGGAATATCCTTGACTATGAAAAGCTTCTTATGGCACTTTGTTCTCCACTTTTTCTTTTGATTGGACTGTGAGGTACCTCAAAAAGTAGCATGAGATACTAAGCTGCATACTGCAATTCCCTTGCCTTTTACAGGTCCTTCTTTGATATTGTGTAAATCACTTTTTTCTTCAGCTACAGATTTATTATAAGTCAAATGAATTATTACAGCCTCTTGCGCAGTCTCTTGATTGGGAGGTACTGGCATGACAGAGACATCATAGTACAGCATAGTAAAATCAAACTCCGAGCAATAGCTTCCTTATATGTTTAAAAATAAAAGGTAAATATCAGTTTAATAAGACAGATGAGCCTTAATTGCTAAATGTTTATAGAAAGTTTTGAGATGGTCAGAGGCCAGGTCCTGTGCAAATGCAGTATTTTATTAAAATATTTAATAACCAGATTCTCTGATGCAATTGAGGGAACAAAGATCCCTGTCCACTCTTAATTTTCCCTACCCATAATAATTTCCACAGAATATAAATTACATATTGTACAGCTTTATTCTGTTTTCAGAGGATAATTATACTAGAAATTCCAGCCTTCTTTCTGTGGAGGGATCTTTTTCTCAGAAACCACACCTTGTAGCAGTCTGTTTTTCATTTGAGAAAGGCTGAATTTCCATTAATGTCCACAAGTTTTTATGGGTTTGTGCCTTTCAAGAGATGGATACAGGTAAAATGTGTGTTTCCCTTAGTCACAAGTCATAATAATTCAGTCTGGAAGATGTATGTATTGAAAGCTGATGATATAGGAGTGGAAGCTTTTTTTTACGTGCGTGATACGTTAGAGATTACTTTTAATTTCATGCCTGCTATTGTAACAGAGAGAAGCCTGAAATTCCTGTTGTAGTCATCTGAGCATCTCCAGTGGTATCTCTACACTGAGACGGAACTTGGACTTGGTGTCAAATGAGGCAAGGCAGGATGCAAAATGGACAGTACCACTTGCTCTGTCTATGAGATTGGAGGCTATGAGATTTATGTAACCATTTAAGGAGTTTAATAAAAGGAAAGGCAGGGTCTCAAAGTAAGGTTCACAAGCCACTTTTGACATACCAGAAGGGACAAGTAGCAAAACATTCTCCAATATTAGAGACTGATGGACCCCATATATTTTCAGTTTCCTAAGAGCAAATTACTGTTTCAGAAATGTTCCAACTTTTTAATAGTCACACTCCACTGTTTTTAAACATCCACAAGTTGCAAAATTATATTCCCGTCTGAGTAATTTTAGTAAGAGGGTAGCAGCAAGGAAACTGAATTCAGTTTAAAAAAAATCCTGTTCAAGTCTTACTTCTGCTGGAAAAGTTTGTTTGTTTTTTTCTGTAGCTGTGGTGTACTCAAAGCTTTTTTTTTCATCATTGCATATGCAAAATCCAGACCTGCAGAACTGTTCCATGTGGTGAACAGTCTGCTAAACCCAGACTGTTTTGCCTGAGTAGCAGATTTCCATATACCTCATTATGAGTTTGGGATTTTTTTGATTTATGTAGACTCTGTTCCTTCAAAGGGATGTATGACTGTAGACCTTTACATGTACCAAAGTGATTTCTTATCAAGTACTGAGGAAAATACAAGGGCAGGTCCAGTTGGAGAATATGAGCGGGTTTTTTGCAGAGAACTTTCTTTCTAGCCAGTTTAATTTATCATGGAAACACCATGTAAACAGAAGGCCACAAAGTTACTTAGCTTTTGAAGTTTTTAATGGTGGCCAGTGAGTTTTTGGATGGTTAGTGAATGATGTAATCCACAGTGTGTAATGCAAATTCATATTCTTTTTGATTGGTAAGGGACTATAAGAAAGATTTAGGTCAGTACTGCTAAAAGAAAGTAGCACAGACTTTATCTCGTTGAATACAGCCTGATTTAAATAAGTGTTAGATCTTTCCACACCAAAGAAGCAATTATCCTTGGTAATAGCAGGTGTGCTTGAGTCTTCCATCCTGTGATAAAGGCAAATGATTAGGGTACCACTAAATACATTTCTAAGGTTATCTTATTTCTGTGGATTCCTACCACTCAGATTTCCAGTCTGTGCATGGACAGAGTTAATATCCTTGGTTTTATTATTTCCTTCTGGGGATGAACAAAATCATAGAATCAGGGAATATAATTATGAAACAATGTAGACTGGAGAGAGCATCTGGAGGTTATCTGGCCAAGCCACTCCTCAGAGCAGGGCCAGCTTAGATCCGTGTGCTCATGGCAGTCGTTCAGCTGAGCTTTGTGGACCACTGAGCACCACTTCAGAGGAGCCACTGGCTCCATAATCTCTTTAATTTTCTGTTAGATAATTGAAGGCATCAATACACCTTCAATAACAGTATGCCTTAAACTCCCCTCCTTAACAGCCCCACCTCCCCAGTGTTCTCTGAAGACTGGACAAACCCATTTCTTTCAGCATCCCCCCTTACATCATCATGTACCTCATAAACTTTCTGATCCACTACCCTCTTAATCTAGTAGGTTAACATCTGTGTTGTGTTGGAAGGTCCAAAACTGGAGTAGATGATATCATCAATGTTTGCATCTGGCCATCTATAACTCCTCAGTCCAAATTATTTTGATTATACTTAGCTTTATTGACTGAAGGTGGTTTTTGGAATAATTAAGACTTCAAGTCTCACACAACTAACAAGATACCTGAACTACAGTATTCCACATCTTACTGATGAGGACTAAGGAACAGAACTGTTCACAATGAAAAAACTGTTTCCTGAAAGAATGCTTTGCATTAAGTGATACTCTTGATTTAAGTGGGTTTTTTAGAGTGGGTCATGTTCTAACCTGTTTTTGTAGATGGTGTCACTCAATATCTCTTCTTGTCACCACAGCATAAAATACACTTCCTCATGGCCCACTGACTTTAAGCATAGGGAAAGAGGACTGTGCAGAAATCATTTTCAGATCCCAGGGACCATATGTATAATGTACTGTTAAATTAACTTCTGTTTCTAGTGCACTTGGAGGATCATCCGCCCTTCACATCCCAGCCTTTCCTGGTGGAGGTTGTCTTATTGACTATGTACCCCAAGTATGCCAACTGCTAACAAACAAGGTAAGTTAGTAAAGACAACTCAGTTTTCCTTTTCATTATGCTCTGCATTGCATGTCCATAGAAATCGTTATTCTTCTGCCAGGTAGTCCAGGCAAGGCATACTTAAGGTGAACTACACAGAGAATATCTTTTTGATAAGAGCTGAGCACCTAAGCAGGACATTGAATATAACAACTCTTTTAGGTAAACAAGTGACATTGGGGTCAGATCCTGGAGCGGTTTTTTTCTTCATGTGAAATGTTCCGATTTAGGGTAAAATGTTGTTGTAATGTATAACACTGCATTGTAGCATACTATTTTGTTAGTAAATACAAATGTGTAGTTTGCATTTTATTTTTCCATTTGGGAGTTCTCATACCTAGTCATCATTAAGTTTTGAATACTTTCAATGATTTTTATTCTCATACATTTCATCCAAATGAACTGAATCAGCAGTCTGTTTGGATGTAATAGCTATTTAGGGTTGCTGAGAAGGTTGTGTTCCTGTTAGCTTACTGTTTAAACAAAAAAGAACAATTATAGTATTTTGAAAGTTTCTCCATTATTTAAGAGTACTTTTCAAAAGAAAGCTTAGGGGCCAACATCTAAAAATTTACCTATTGCAAACTTTGCATTTGTTTATTATTTTTACTTTCAATTGTCTAAATGAAGAAAATAATTTTATCTTTTAGAAAAAGTTCTTCAAGATGTGTTTCCATAATTATATTGACTCTATCCTTAGAGTTGTTTTTGTTGTGGTTTTCTGTTAAAATTACTCTCTGTTTTTAAAATCTGCAAGCATACAGGACTGTTTTTATCCTTTCTTAAACGAAGTCATTTGAGCAAACTTATCGTGCGTTTTCCTTTTCCCAAAATAACATTTCAGATCCTCCACAGAGCCTTCAAAATAATTGTAGTTTTTTATGAAATGAATATATTTCAATGTATAAATAGAATTCAACTTTAAGGTATACAAGATAGCTCTCAGCAATGACTGTATCAAGGCCTTTTCAGGAATTTTAGGAAAGCATTTACCAGCCAAGAAATTCTGGTATTACCATAGCCAAGAAAATACTCTTCCTGTTCCTTTCAGTGAGGGAGAAAAAAGGTTTCTAAAATACAGCTTTTCGTTCTGGAAAGTAAAGGAATTTACGTAGAGTATCACATATGGAACCACACCATAAGTACTTCAAGTCACCAGTTCTAAAGCAGATGCTCTTGCAGCCTCACAACACATGCATTGTTTCTGTTATGGGTCAAACCCTGTTCACACTGTTCTCCTAAGTAATGCCATTCAAATCAATAAGAAAACATAGATGGTGCAAGGAGAATTTTACCTTAAGTCTTCCAAATTTAGCGTTGTTGGATTTTGTCTGTGCCAGGATGGAAGCCTTTCAAAACCCAGAATGCCTCAGAAGTTGATGCTCACAGTTGAGTAGGTGGATCCCTGAGTCAGCATGAAACCAGTGACAGAGCTTAGTGTTCAGAATATTTTGTTGGAGATGCAGTCTTCACAAAACACCCAAGACCAGTTGTGAAAGATACTTAGTTTTGTCTTTTATAACCAGAATGTTAATTCGACACTTAACCTACTGTCAGTTCAGGTAACTGTGATTTGTCTGTCACAGTTTTCTACTTAAACTTCAGTAAGGCAAGGCTGAGCATTTCTTTCCTTTACTCTTTATCTTGTGTAGTTAAACAGTGCTTCAATCTATTGTGAAAAACTTAAGTTTCACTCAAATGTGAGTGAAGAGATTTCTGTGCAAGATGTTCTGTGTGCTAGATCCAGGGCTTGTTTTAAAGGCATTTTAGGATTCTTAAAGGAAATCACACAAGCTAAATGTAGGTTTCAGAACTACTACCATGTCAAACATAAATCTTCCTTTACAAGAACTATATGACAAACTGGGATTTAACTTTTTTTATCTTTTTATAGCTCTGGATTTGTTTTCTTCTTTCTTTTTTCAGGTACAGTATGTTATTCAGGGATACCATAAGAGAAGAGAGTACATTGCAGCTTTCCTGAGTCACTTTGGAACGTAAGTTTTCCTGCACTGCATTGTTTTCCATAGTATGGGGGAAAGTAGTTTTCTGCACATGGTTTGTGGTTGTGTGACTGCTGTCCACTGGATGAGATGAAATCTAGTCATTTTTCACAGAATGATGTGTGTAGGTTGTCTCTCTGTAGCAGTACTGTAATGAAGGTCAGCATTATTTCACTTCTGTGCCAGTTGCCCATCTGATTTTACTAGAATATAGCTGATGATGGGAAAAGGCCAGTAAGGATTTTCTCCTTGTGCAGAAGAAATGTGCTCATTTCTGAATAAATTACTTGAGAGGTCTTACAGTAATAGGCAGTGACTGAGATTGGAGAATGGGGAAGCAGGTCTAAGCCTTGTAGGAGCCAGAAACCACTGCTTGGCATAAAAACAGGACTGGGAGACCAGCTGCTCCCACCACCAAGCAGTATTTTGTCTCTCAAGAGAAGAGGCTGTTGGGTCATCTTAGATTCCTGCAGATCAAGCAGTGGCCATGGCCAGGCATGATGACACATTAGCTTCACAAATCAATTAGCCAGGGCTACCCTGGGTCAGCACTTTGGTTTCCCACCTAAATTCTGACTAGAGTGAAAGTCCAAGTCTTTACCTAGTTGTGATGAGTGGTTTCTGCTTCCGAGAAGTGATGCCAAATGACATGGATATTCGGGAGCCCTTCAAATCTCGTGTCTCTCAAGTGAACTTAGGAAAACAGGTGGCTTCTAGCATGGACCCAGATTTAATACAATGATAATTAGATAATGGTGACTTGAACTGGATATATGAGTAGACAGTCAATGCAAGCTCGATCTTTGTCAAGACAAGGTATTTCCTTTTCTTCTGAGAAAACTACAGTATAGAAATGGCCAGGTGCACCTATGATTTTATTATATCTACAGTGTAGTTCATGAGTTCTGATACTGCTTGAGTTTTTTAGAGAATACCAACTTCTGATAATTGAAACTTGTAATCCATCTATTGAACAAGTCTTCTATATCGAATTTTTTGTATGCTCTCATGTTTTGTTTTTATATATGCTCTTTTCGATTTTCAAATTTAAACTCTACTCAGCCTGCATATTTTCAGTTTTACCCTCCCACTTACTACATAGTTAATAAGTTACCTTAATCTGAGTAAGATACAGGGAATTTGTGTGTCCGCAGTTTTACCAGTTTAGGACTGCAGATGCATTAGCTGATCTCCTTTCATTCTAAAGTGTGTTTATATAAACTGAACATGGCCTTTCTTTGGGTAAGAAACTCCAATAACACAGCATAATTAAGATTATTACAAGTTTAATTTACATTTAGCTAGACAATTTTAACTGTTAATAAACTGTTAATAAACGAAGCAAATACTGGAAGTTTCTGAGCAAACAAGCAAAAATAACAATCCCTGTAATACAAAATTTACCTATTAATCATTCAGTATTATAAGGTAAAAACTGTATTAATTTTTTGTTGTTTTTCTGTTGACAGCGGTGTGGTGGAATATGATGCAGAAGGCTTCACAAAGCTCACTCTGTTGCTGATGTGGAAAGATTTTTGCTTCCTTGTTCACGGTGAGTAACACTTTGCCTCAGGCATAAGTGTCTATCCTCTTGAAGATACAAGTTCAAAAGGGAAAAAATACAATTACAGGAAACAATTCAAAAGTTTTATCCAGTGCTTAATCTATTTTTGATGTGACCATGACGCTTAGAAAACACAAAATCCTAATTGTTTTTGGAGATGGGGGGAATTGGAGAAGGGGAGAGGATCCATATCAGTAGTGAGATGCCAGCTTTACAAAACACCAAAAGCATCCAGGGGAGGTTTTCTGGTAATATGATGCAAGTTCAAGTTCATGGTTGTAACTTGGCCTTTCAGAAGTGTCGATAATGAGAACCAATATTATACTCAACCCGGGAATACCTAAAATCTTCTGTAGTTGTCAGGAGTTAATGCACTGATACTAACTGTAAAGACTCTGTTTAATTACATGAGAAATACACTATACTGTCATTAGGATCCAAAAGATATTCCTAGACTGAAACTGTGTAGGCAAAACTGTCTTAACAATGTGGCTAGATTTGCTGTCATTTGAAAGTTTTAAAAAAGGACTGTGTTGCTTTCAAAAAGACATTCTTAATTAAATATATAGGAATTAGTCCATATGGATTAGTAAATGTGGCTTTGTTACATGTTACCTTTTACATGTTACTTTAAGTAATAATTACTATTTTTCCCTGTGCTAAGGTGAAATTCACAGGTATCAAAGGTATTTTTGTCTGGGGAAATTTGTTACTCTTTAGTTTGTTTGTTATGCTTCTTATTTATGTTTAAAAGAATTGCATTGCAGTCTGAGCAGCTGCAGCATTGGTGTTTGTTAACATTCTAGCATTGGTATCTTTGAGATTACTTCATTTTTGATTGTAGGCTAGCTTTCCATGTGGAAAACTGACACTGTCTTGATGGCATCTTAGAAATTTGTCCCAGAGTTTTTGATGCAGAAAGTGAGGATTGCCATTGTTCAGAGAAGTCCTTCACCCTGTGTTGTGTTGGAGATCATAAAAAATGGTCTCACTAGTTCCATTCTTTTTATTACCTAAGATTACCACACAGTAGTGACCTTAAGAGGCCTAGAAAATTCAAACCTGAAATTAAAACACTTCCATCATATGAATTACGTTTTGGAAAAAAAAATTAAAGCTGATATTTTTTGGAAAATTATCGTTGTTAAATCTTTACTTACATTTCAACTACAGTTGAGAATTGGTCACTGGACAATTGTCTTCTATGAGATGGCACTTACTTACGTACAGCTTTCTTGGAGATTTCCTACCTTTCTTACTCCCCACCATGTTTGGCTTAATTGAATCTGTTAAAATTTGTGTGGATTTGATTTGTGCTGCAGGATAATATAACTTAATACATGTTGAATCAGTTAGATTTCAGGGGAATCAAAATTCAAATTTCTGCTAAATAACAGAGTAGGTTTTAACTGTGTAATATTCATAGTATTCAATTAAACTGGCATGAAAGGTACAATTATAACTGAATAGTTTATCACTATGTATTAACCCTGTGGCCTTAAAAATCATACAGTGTCTTAGCTTTGTAAGCCATTGCATCACCCGCTTGTTGAACAATCCACTGCAAAAGCATTTATGTTCCATGCACTGAAGGATATTGCAATGAAAGGACCGAAACCTGCACTTCATTTCCTGAGTGAAGTAATATAGGCTTTCATCTCTTAACCACTGACATAACTATGTATATTATGGTTGAATATTTAGCAAGCGTCTAATAAAATGTCTGGGAGAGATAGCAATAAGTTGAAAACTGCTCTGCTTCATGTATTTAGTATAGTATGTAGATAAAGTATTCAGAGGAGAATAAATAGGTCAGTATACAGCAGGCACCATGGCAAATCAAATGAAAGGTACCATAGTAAATTTTACTGGCATCTAAATTTTGGTTAAAATTTTATGTTTAATTGAGATGGTAAGATTTATAAACCCTGACATGAGTTGTATTTCCTTTAAAAGATGCATTCAGAGATTTCAGAAATAACTTTGGCATTGTTTTGCAGCTATTTGCATTCCAAGTTACAAACTTATTTGGACACTAGGAAGCAAAAAAGCATCAGAAGTAAGGTGAAATTATTCAGAATAGTTTTATTGAGTAAACTGGGTTAAAGGAGAGAGAAACAGGAAAATAGTTCTGAATTGCCAAAGCCCAATAACCTTAGAACAATTTCACTTGCTAAAAAAAATTGATTTGTGCTGTAGTCCCAGAATGCAGAGCAGAGTCTACTCTGCAGAGTCTACTCACTCTACCTTAAAACACCAAAGAGCTACCTAGTTGCAAACTTAATCATTAGATTAATGAAGCTGCTGCAGTTATTATATTAGATCAAAGACCAGTCAAAGGAACTGTTGCTTTAGTGGTTTAGTTTTAAGAATTAATCAAGTGCTTTCAAATATAAGACAGAAGAAATAAACATTTAGAGAAGTTCATGCGTCCACGTGGGAAAGGAAATTGTTAATCAGTCATACTGCTTTTGATATTGATACTGTTTATGAGTAAGTCTCCTTATGAAGCTTTGTAAGTAAACTTCAATAGACTGCCAATTTCTTTCTCTTCTTGTTTATGAATCAGCTATGATTAGTTTTTGCAGACAAGTATTTCTTCATTTTCTTGTTCCTCCATACAGTCTGTGTATTTATACCATATATAAATCATAGTATTATTTAGGTTGGAGAATACCTTTAACATCCAGTTCAGCCATTGATGCTATAACCAGAACAATATTAGATAAAACCACATTAAATTATCTGTAAATAATTAAGAATCAAGTAGCCTTATTGGTATAAACACAAGAATAGGACTCTGAAGCAACCTTTTTGTGGGCTTTTCAAAGATTAATTTTTATCTTACAAGATTTTTAGGCTGTCAGCACAAAGGAAAGTGACAGAAATCGGACTGGTTGCAATAGCAAATGAACACTACTTGTATTAGTGATTTTTAAGATTTAAGATGTCTTGGAAAGGACAAACATTAAATTAAGAAAGGTTTGTTTCATTGAACAATATTTCAGGGGATGGAGAATGCTTGAAGCTGCTAGCATTTGTATTTCAAGTTTGGAGGGGATCTCAGCTGAGGTGGAGTTGGTGGGAACATTTGCTGGAACTGACTTTGACTAATTGTAAGGGGTATCGGATTCTGTGTGTGTAATGCCACTGACTAGGAGGTCCAAAAAACAGGGGACCCAGAGCATTAATTGGGTTATAGGAGGCTATACCTATGACTATCAGGCTTTGGATGCACACCTGTTTCTGGATTCAGGTTTTTTTGGTAGAAGTCCTTAATGCCAGCTTTTGATGCATTCCTGTTTGAATATTGCTATCTGCACACATTTTTCAGAAGAGCGGTTTGTGCCAGTGCAGTCAGGTTACGTGGCTTGAGTTGATGGCCTTAGCTAAACAATTGGGGTTCACATAAACCTCCTTTGGGTCTGGATTAGCACATCTGTCCACAGCCTCAGAAAGCTTGGAAAATAAAGACACAAAGAATTTTTGGTAGCTGTATTTGTTCAATGATGCTTGGGAGGAGGGAAAAAAATTCTGACATTTTGGGAAAGAGCATTAGTAGCTGGGAACACAAGTTTACACTGCTGTGCAAAGAAAATACGGTTTATTCCAGAAGTGTTCGGAGAAAAAGGAATGTATGCCTACTTGCTGCAAAGGAACAAAATTGTATTGAAGAATTAATTCCTTTATTCCATTACTTTTCCAAGCAGAAATAACTCATTAGGCCTCGGATATTGTTTAATAATTCAGTAGAACATCAATAATCCTTATGATGTAGGTGAGTGTTAAATTTTCAGGCACCTTGTGTAGTTTAAGATGTTATACCTGCCCTTGAAAGGAGATTGCCTCACCTCTGGAAATTCAGCAGAACAGAGCTAGTGAGCATTTGTCTGCCCATTCATCTATTCCTCCAGCAACTGTTTAAATAACAAGTTATACTTTGATGTAGTAAATGGCTAGCAAGGAGGTTTGGTAAAGTCTTAAATATGAAGGTTTTTCTTAGATGAACATGTGTCTGATCACTTCATGTTTACTATTACTAAAAAATCTCATTTGGCTCACGTACAACTAAATACCCAGGATGGAATCAAAGGAACACAATGTTTAAAGTACTCTTAATGTCAAAAATAAAATTATCAGCTTTCAATAACAATTTCAAACTAAATCTAGTTGGCAGAGTCCCTTAGAAATAAGGGAGAAAAATATGCCACAGAGAAAAATGATCGGCAGAAGACTCATTAATTTCCAAATGCTGCAGTTCAGTCCTGTGACTGAATGCTGCAGTTCAGCCCCTTTCTATGCCTATGCCTAGTTTAGTGCAGAACCGTGTGCCTGTGACTCCGGCTACTTTTCCACCAGTGCCTGTTGCACAGCACTGCAGTGTATCTGCAGCTTTCATTGGCTGCAGTTAAGCAATATGCACTTCACTACACAGGAAATGTCACAGAGAATGCTTTGTTTTGAGTGATTAAAACAACGTACAAGGTTTCAAAGAAACCCCCTCTGCTTGGGGTATATTTTGCTGTAGGCAGAATGACATGCCTTCAGGAGCGTTCAAGCCCAGATTCAAAGAAATACATAGAACCAACTAAAAGTACTGAGACAGTGAGAGGAGAAAACCACCACATGAAAGACACTTCTCTGCTTACTCCCAAGTGTAAGATCCAAATTACTTTTGACTTTCTCCAGCCAGTTTTACATCACTGGGGCTTTCTTAATCTCCAGTTTTTTGTTTAAGAATGAAAGACAACCTGATACAATATTTGCTGACATTTTTGATCAGCGTCGAACTTCTCATACTAGTATGAAGCCATCATAAGATACCTGTAGAGCCTAATTCCTATCACAGCAGTTGTTTCCTGTTTGTTGCTGTCCGTACCAAGTTTTATAAACTGCCTAGCGTCCATTCTCCCTTTTTCAGCAATTACAAATAGGAACCTAAAACTAGTTTGTACAGAGTGACATGAAAACAAAATGAACACAGAGAA